TGTCCCAGCTGGAATGGGGCTCCCAGGACCCACTTTTCCCCTGTTTCGTTAAGGTAAAGGGCTGACCCAGCTGGAATGGGGCTCCCAGGACCACTTTTCCCCTGTTTCCTCAGGGTAAAGGGCTGTCCCAGCTGGAATGGGTCTCCCTGGGGGTTGTGCTGCCAGGCAGACCCACCCAGAATGACCCAGCACTGGGGGTGAAGGCCACCAAGCCTTGGGAGGTTTTGTGCTTTGTCGAGCCCGGCGAAGAGCCACGTTGAGCAGCACTGAGGTCCCACGGGTGTTTGGAAGAGGGTTCTGGATCCATTGGATTTTTTGTGGAGCTTATGCCCTTGTAAGTGCTGTGGTGCTCAGGGAGGCCCTGGGTGGGCACTGCCAGCTCCTGTCTCGGCCACATCCTCACAGTGACAGTGGTGGCAGGAGGTGGCCCTGCTCCCCATGGGCTCAGCCATGGTCAGGGTGCTCCTGCTCCGACACCATCCCTGAAGCTGCTGTGGTACCAGGGTTCTGCTGGTCTCCATGGCTTTCCTTGGCCCCAGACATCCCAAAAAAGGGCTGGAGGAGCAGAGCTGAGCTGAGCTGAACCCTCTGAGCAGGAGATTGTACAATGTGGGGCTGTGCTGAGGACAGCTGGGTGTCCTGGCCTGTGGCACTGAGGGAGAACCCTGCCCTGCCCCAGGCTGGGGGACGGGCCTGGCCTTACCTCTCATGTTCTCAGGAGGCTCTGGTGCCTTCAGCTTCTGTCCAAGAGCTGCTGTGTTTGGTGGGTCATCACAGGTGGCATCAGAGAGAACATCAGATTTAAAACAGAACCCCCTTGGTTTGCTTAACAGGGTGGCACAGGGACACTGGCAGCTCGAGGCAGGGTCACTGGAGCTGTATCTAGCTGAGGATGTGCTGAAGCAGGAAGGAGAGACCAAGTCTCCTCAAAGTTAGCATCTATAAGTGTGAAGAGAGGCAGGAAAAATATTCCTAAGGGGTAGGGCTGGATGGCTGAGTGTTGGCACGTGGTCCTGACACTGCCCAGGCACAGAGAGAAGGCAGAACTGCAGAGCACTGCCAAGGCTGTCAGCACTCCTGGCCCCTTGGTGTAGCTCTAGCCCTTGTTACTGCAGCAAAAGCAGCTTTGCCACTCTGTGGGGCCAGACAGGCCCAGGATGATCTGCACAGGAGGGATGCTAAAGTCTACAGCTGGAGTGAGCTACAGGAAACTTGGGTGGGAAACAGGAGTTGAACACCAAGGGCAGCTGCCAAAGCGCGTGTGTGTGTGGTGGGAACCCTGAGGAGGAGAAGCTTCAGCCTCAACAGCCAGAGAGAATCCTCCCAAGGCTCCCACCTGGAGCACCTCAGGCAGTCACGGAGGAGACTGAGCAAGGAAATGCATCAGAAGGATCTAAAAGACACAGGCCTATCCACTCGCAGGGAGATTCTGCTCTACAGACAGGCTCCAGCATCAGGAGATGACAGGATTTCCATGATCCTCTCCGTTCACACCAGCAGCAAGCTGTGAACAATCCCTTCTGCCACTCAGCATCCTCATCTTTGTACCAGGCTAAACCCCGAGGCTCAGCCCCGAGCCCTGAGCTCTCTGCTGGGCAGGAGGAGGAGAGGGGCATGGAAAGCACAGACACAGAGCTAGGAACCAAAGCATTCTCTGAGCTGTTCTTGCTGGCAGGAGCCAGCTCAGCCCTGTGGCTCCTACCTTGTGCTCCTGGGCCAGCCTTGGCCGGGGCAGAGCCCACCTGCAGCGGGGCAGCCGCCGACAAGCCGGGGTAGTCTTGCAGTGATCAAAGGGAAAATTGTGTTACTGGGGGAGCTGGCATCCCACAAAAGCCCCGCAGCATTCCTACAGGGAGTCAGAGCCCCAAATCCCACTCCCAGCCCTGTG